AACGAAAAACGACGATTTAACGGTTAGTTTAAGTCCGATTTTGATGATTTTTTGCAGCTACACTCCTTGAACCTATATGAATATAATGAATGAATTCGATCTTCAAATTAAAATATTTATACTAGTGGATACCACAAAATCTTGCGTTATACTTAATGAAAGTGTGAATAAACTCTTAAGTCTTAGTGAATCTATCGTTTTGATGGGATACGCATTCTACGAAACTAATTTCAACGATCCAACCGTCAAACATGTTTGTATATAATTCGAGATCGTATACGAAAAAAATCGCAAAAAACAAACATTCTGGGATGAAGTAACGGGCCATGCATGATCGACGGTTATCAACTAAAAATGACGATTTAACAGTTATTGTAAGCCTGATTTTGATGATTTTTTACAGCTACACTCCTTGAACCTATATGAATACAATGAATGAATTCGATCTTCAAATTAAAATATTTATACTAGTGGATACCACAAAATCTTACGTTATACTTAATGAAAGTGTGATGATCAATGAAAATTGATGATTTTGTAAAAAGAATAAAATGCAAGCTTTAAGTTACATTGGCAAGGTTTAAACTTTTGAGAAATGCTCATCTAATCCATTATAGTAAATAACAACCAAATGTTATCAAAGTTATCAAAATAACAACAAATTAAATGTTATCAAAGTCATCTAATCCATTATAGTAAATAACAACCAAATGTTATCAAAGTTAAACTTTTGAGAAATGCTCATCTAATCCATAATATATACTTATATTACTAAATATTATAAGTTTATGTTATATTTAATATTGTTAATTTAACATAAATGCTTATAAATATTATTCATTCCATTTTCTCAAAACAACTCAAATTATGTTCATCTAATCCATTCTAGTAAATAACAACAAAAAATTATCAAAATAAAAACAAATTAAAATAACAATTACAGTGCAAAAAAAATTGATTCAACTTAATAAATTTATTTATTAAAATATTATATGAGATAACATAACTGATTACTTTTTAATTTTGGATTAAAATTTTTTATTTTTTTTGTTTCTATTTTTATCCTTGTTCTCTTTTTTTTGTAAGTTAAAACTTTTTTTTTTATGTTGGGCGGGAATTTTCCCGGTATTTTTGCACGGGGGAATGGGTTGGAAGACTTTGTCAGTCATTATCATATCAAATTATGCTTATAGTGGCCTTAACCGATGCAAAATTATACACTTTCGAGAGTATCTGCTACAATGGATTTTCTGTCAGAGACACTACACAAATTTGTTCTTATTTCGACGCAAATTTTATCTTATTTCGACACAAACTTGTTCTTATTTCGATGTTATAAAAATCTGTCAGTCTAACGTCGGTTTTAACCAACGCAATGTAGCCTAATTTCGACGGTACTGACATAGTATGTCAGCCTATAATGATGTTGAGTCAGACGGTACTGTTAGGCTAGTCAAAAGCTATAAGACATAGTGTCGGTTTTAAGCGACACAATGGGTCCTTATTTTGACGCAATGGGTCCTTATTTCAACACTATGCCACATAACGTCGGTTTTAACCGACGCAATGGTCTGAAGAGTATGTCAGGCTTTCTGCCCAAAGTATGTCAAGCCCAAAGTATGTCAGGTCTGTAGCTTTCTGCCCAAAGTATGTCAGGTCTGTGTAGGCTTTCTGTCAAAGTCAGACCTTGTGTCGGTTTTAACCGACGCAAAGTGTTCATATTTCGACACTATGCAATTATCCACATTTAATCTTCTTGATTTCCTATCTCGTCTCTATCCCCCACTTCTGTCTCTCGTCTTTATCCCCCACTTCCCCACTTCTGTCTCTCATCTCTATCCCCCACTTCAGCCATATTCCTTCCACTTCTGTCTCTCGTCTCTTTCCCCCATTTCAGCCATATTCCTTCTCCTTCCATTAAATTTTGCTATGGATAGTTCTCGTGAAGATCAATGTTCTGAAGAACGTCACTTGGAAGAGGACGAGGGTGATGCTGGTTCTTTTTTGAATTGTTATTAATCTCAGTTTTTATTTTTATTTTTTTGTGTGTGTGTTTGAACTATTATTATTGCTAAACTGAAAATATACATTTGTTTCCTGGTTTTTAATTGTGTGTTTGTATTAACAAGGTACATCTCAACGGAGGCGTGGACCCTCAATTCCTAAATGGACGAAACAGCTTTGTTCGTTTGATTCGTCCGGAAAATGCATTAGTGATAATGCTAGTGCTTTTTCAAAACATGTAGCAGCGGAGGTTAGGGACTATAGAAATCTGCCGTCGGAGAAAGATTGGCGTAAGGTTACGGAAGAAGATAAGGAAGCTTTCTGGAATAGAATAAAGGTATAGGTGTTTTTATTTTTAGTTGAAAATAGAAGAATAAGTCAATGATTGTAATAATAATTGACTAGCGTGATTTTTTTTGTTTTTTGTTTTTATGTATGTAGGGAAATATTTTTTTTGAAGATGCAGATATAGTAAAAATGCCTTTGATCCGTCATATGACGCTTAAGATTGCGGAGCATGCGCATAAAGAGTTTAGAAATAAGTTAAAAAAAAAGTATTATACAAAAAGAGCAGAAGAGCTGCGCAGCGAGCCTCCTCCTGATGTGATTCTTGCCCAGTGGGATGATTTGTTGGCATATTGGAATAGAGACAAAACAAAGGTAAACCTTACACGATTTATTTCGTTATAACTTTAAAGTTGCCTAATATAATCTTTTTTTTTCTTTCGTTTTTTTTTTCAGGAGGTTGCTGAAAAAAATAAGATTAATCGGGGATTGAAATCAATGAACCATACCACTGGTACAAAATCCTTTGCAAGAGTGCGGGAAGAATATGTATGGATTGTACATTTTGAAGAAATGATTAATTTTAAATAATTATATTTATTTTTAGTATGAGGTTTGCTTAAGTTGTTTGTATGAAATTTTATTTTTGATAAAGCGGAAGAAGCATGGGAAAGAAGCAGATCCTGTAACCTTTTTTCGTGAATGTCATACACGAAAAGATAAAACATGGATTGATGAAACATCGGAGCGTACAGGGGTAATAGATTTTTTCGTGTTAGTATTTGATTTTATTAGTATTTATTATCTATAGCTTATTTTTATGTTTTACGATTGAATTTTTGTTTTTAAAAATTGTAATGCAAGTCAACAATGGAGAGCAATCTGCAAACATTGATTGAGTCGGGCCAGGAGGATAGTGAAGATCTTAGGACCCAAGTTTATGTTGATACTATGGGTCCTGAGAGGCATAATAGAGTCAGAGGATACGGTCATGGTGTGACTCCTGATATGGTGTCTTATGCATCTTCTTCATCTTCTACATCAATTTCCTCCAGGAGATCATCTAAGAGTTCAATGGCGTTGCTGATGACTCAAAATAATGAGTTGAAAATGAGGGACGAAAATAATAATAAACGGATTTCGGACCTAGAGAACAAGCAAAATCAGTTGTTTGCATGGTTTTTTCAAAGATTTCAGCCACAACCACCGTATAGCCCGGGAACCCAACAACCAGGCCAGAGTCAACCTCCTCAACAGTCGGGCCAAAGTCAGCCTCCCCCTGCATATCCGTATGCTGGCCATAATCAGCAACCTCCATATCCTGTGTATCCGATGCCTGCGCAGCCCATGCCATACATGCAGCAGCCGCCCATCCCATACATGCAGCAACCACCTTATCAAGTGCCAGTGTATCGACCTGAGATGGCTGCTCCTAGTGGATTTTTTCCTGAAGTTCCAGCTGAGGGGTTTTCTGGAATGCTTGCAGGTGTTGGATTTGATGTGGACTTGTCGAGGATTTTTGGATCAGATGGAGGATCTCAAGGAGAAGGATCTGGACGACGTTCAGGCGCAGATTCGGTTTAATTGGTTCTTTTTCTTGTCGGTTAAATACGACACTATAATTGTTCTATCTTTTTGTTTTTTTATGTTATGTTTGTAATGTCGGATTTAATGTTTGTTACGACGGACGGCTTTTTGGATTTTATGTGAAATGTTAGATGTACAGTTTGGCACTATTGTTTTTGTTATTTATTTTTATTAATGTTTATTTAGATCTTAAAATTTATTATTTTGATTATATAATTTATTTTAGTTGGAATTAATTGAAATTCCATGCAGTTGTCCATCTATTTTTATTATTATTAACAAATATAGTGTCGGTTAAGACCGTTACTAGATTTTATATTTTATTTATTTAATTGTTATCTAACGTCGGTTTAAGGGATATTTTATTTATTTAATTTTAATATAATGTCGATTAAAAGCGACAGTAGATTGCATACTTTATAATTAAATAGCTGATGCACGTGTAAGTAGCGTCGCTTTAAACCGACGTTAAGGTTAGTGTCGCTTTAAACTGACGCTGTGTAGTGGCGGATTAAGCTCAAAAAGCGACACTGAAGCCCTTTCGCGACGCTAGCAATAGTGTCGCTATTGAAATGCGACATTACATTGTTCAATGTCGGATTTGTGCCAAATTTTCGACAGAAATTTGATTTCTCGTCGGTTTTCCCTCCGCCAGTGATAGCATATATTGTAGTAGTGCATGAACATGTCTATGTTAAACTTAGAAACACAAAACTTTTCAAATCAATTTCATATCTCAGAAATAGATGGGACAAATAGTGACAAATAGTCTCGTGCATTCTATAACTTATTTAGACAGGCTAACAGAGTTGAAAAGCTTGCTGAAATTATACAAAGATTGGAGCAAGGTGATCTAAAGCTTAGAGTTTGGGCTTTGGAATCTGAGAGGGCATTCCAGCTGGTTGCAACTGTCCAGAAGACTATTGGGAATGTGAGTTGAACTTATTCATGACCTAATGGCATACACACATGGGAAAGACTCCGTCAAACAATCTGCAGGTATGTGTTGCAGATATTACTTCAATATTTGCATATGCAGAACATATTTGATGCATTGGTTGTGATTTAGTTGGTAAATTCTTGTGTTCTTGGCTAAGTATATTATAAAGGCTGTGTTTTCTCTTACACCCCGCCCTTCATCTTCTTCTTGAGAATATCATCAACCACCCGATACAATACCCCTACAGCTCTCCCATACGAGTGATTTTTTAGTGTACCGGTAACGGGGTAGTACACCACATGTCATTATACAAATGTTGAGATGTGTGCTGAATAAAAAGTTAATAACTTAAAAAATAAAATTTTTCATCACTTTTATTAAAACACGTGATATATTACTTGTGTTCCCGTCATAATTAAAAATTTCCCATTCCATACCTCCTCCGTCTATCCACCCCATCATCTTCACCACCACCCAACAATCATCGGCAAACAGCAGAGCACTGGCTCATCTCCCCAAATTTCTTCTCCTGCGCCAATTCCACCGCATTTGGCCCGCCTTCAAGGTCCAGGAACTGCCCGGCCGCCATTCTGGTGGACCCCACGGTCTGAGCAATCTCCGTGATCACACGCAGAGGCGTGGTTCCGGGACGAGGTCGGAAGGGGTGTTTGACACAATGTGCTGAAACCCTATGGAAACAGACTATCGCCGGCGAAGAGTGCCATGTTGTCTCCGTAGATTGTGTAGTTCGAGGGCTGGCGTCGCCGTGATGGATCGTCATCCATGCATGGAAGATCATCGTGCATGAGCGAAGCCGCATGTACCTATCAATTGTCATTCAAAGAAAAGCAAGCGACTTTATGGATATTCCAATCACAAAATACAAAACCCAAGTAAAAAATTGAACAAATTAGCGGCTAATTATCCAAAACCGAGTTAAATAAACACGATTTAAAGCAAGATTCCACATCTTTATTCTGAAAACCCAATTCGGATTCTGAGCAAAAAATCCATTTGATGCAAGAATATTCATTGGGTTCTATGGAATCAGTGTAATTAGTTTCTGTAAACAACCATTCACTGATTTAGTTTCTGTAAACAACCATTTCGAGAGCACATGCGGTGGGGAAGGCGGCGAGGCGGTTGCCGCCGAAGAGCTCACAGGCGGTGACGCACATGACAGGTGAGGCTCGCTTGGCGCCGTCGGCCAGCATAGAGTAACGCATGGATTGATATATCTGCTTCGGATACCGAATGGGTATAGCTTCGTGAAGCTTCTGATTGATGCAGTGATCAGGGTCGTCCAGTAGGTTTTCAAATCGAAGTTGTTGGATCTCGATTGGGTTGAAATGGACGGTGGCGGTGAAGCGGAGGAGCAACGGATGGGGAAAGCAAACTTGCTTGGCAGATAGACGTGGAATAATGTAGATATCATTGAGAAAGCGGCCATTTTTTCCTGGCTTCTTCTGCGCTAATTTTTAGTTGCGACTAGAATGTGAAAAATATGTATTTTTATATAAATGGTAGAAAATTTTAATTTTTAAGTTATTAATATTTTAATAAATATATTTTACTATTTATATAAAAACACATAATATACCATCATATAACGATTGGATAAAAAGAAATAAAATTTAATGAAAATGACTTGAATTAAGTTTATTTTAACAAAAAATCATTCTATAATTTTATTTAATGAAAAAGACTTAAGCTTTAATGGAAAAGACATAAAATTTAATTAAAAAGACAAAAGTTTAATATAATAAAAAAATGAAATAGAAAAAATAATAAAAAAACTGACTCGTGCTTCCATAACACACATTATTTTTTAAACCATACAATAATATACTATTTCTGAAACTAAACTGTATTACATTATTTCTGAAATTAAATACTATTTTTGAAAACTGAACACTACTACACTATTTTTGAAACTGAACATGGACATTATTTCTAAAACTAAACACATGTTGACATGCACTGACTATTTTTTAAACTGAATATGATATTCTCCAAAAAGTCTCACGATCATTTTTTTCTCCCATCTTAAAATTTGTCGACACTTTCTCACCTTCTGAACACCTTTCCTTCTTCTAATTTTCTTCGATTTTCATCCTATTATATTGAATCACAAATCTGAAGGAAAAAAAAATGCCTTAATGTCGTAAAGAGATACGAAAAATATAAAGACGTAAGCCCCGACACGCACAGTAACAACAAGGCCACGTTCTACCATTACAAACCTATAATTCAAAGAGAAAACTCAATAATTACATTTAGTGACTAAGATATTTGTCGAAGTTCGTCAGGTTCCTAGGGAAGTTCTGTCATCCGCGAGCTAGCATGGTATGCTATATTATGCATTTATATTGGGAGAATTTTCCTCGATTCTTAGATTTTTTCTTCTTTTTTTTTTTTCTTGGGTTTGTGATTCTTATTGGGATTTATTTTCTGGGTTTGTTTTGAATAGAAACAGGCTTCCAATTGCTATAAATGGGGAGTGGTTGATTTTGGTTTTTTTGTTTGTTTATTTACTTATGAGATTAATGGGTCTCATTGTTGACCGCCGCATAAGAGCTTTCAGCCACTTGCATGTGCTGTAGCTTAGGTGCCGAGTCAGAAGCAACAAAGGTATGTTGCATCTTATAAGGTCATCTTTAACCGAAAATTAGTTAGAGGGATTTTTTAGCCTTCTTATCCTTTAAAATATTAATATTTTAATAAACAGTATATGGTATATTTGTCTTCATCTCTAACCGAGAACCAAAGGGCCATAGGACCAAACATAATTTATTATTTAAATTTAAAAACTACAACAACTTAAATTTAAAAACTACAACTTATATTTAAAAACTACAAATTAAATTTAAAAAAAATTTGAATCCAACGGTAATTAGCCGTTGTATTTGAAATTTTGGCCTACCATTCTTTTCGGATATAACCAACAGGAATAATGAAAATTTTGGCCCGGCCCAGGGCTGGCTGCTTTGGGCTAACTGGTTGGCCCTTTGGCCCTTTTTTGTCTAGTGGGGCGCACGAGCACTTTGGCTTAACCCTCGGTTAGAGACGATTTTCGGACTATTTTTGGCCCTTTGGCCCTCTAGACCTTTCGATTGGAGATGACCTAAGATAACTTTTGATTAAAGTTTAAAGTCTAGAAATTTTTTTTATTAGTTTCCCTAAAAAGGAAATTAAGCCAGTCGACTATATTTAAGTTATACAATTGACTTGCAAATTTTTCCGTTTTGCTATTTCCAGACTTGATGTAATTCTTTCGAGTTATTGAAGAGCAACTTACTATCTTTAGCTCAATGCATTGTAGGAAACTATTAAACCATGCCTCCAGACTCCAGTACAATGTTATTAAATCATCACAATCATCAAATAAAACATCTGGAATATAATTGGAAAGCTTGTCAAAGCCAAGTACATATATATCCTCACTAAATGAAGCTAGGTTAACCATAAAGGACCCAACTTGTGTTAAATTGTTAATTGTTAGGAAGGAGAAAATTCAACTGGAGTGCATAAACATGATTGCTTTCCTTTAATATGATCCAAATAAATACGAGTCAGATTTGTTGATCAAGAAATTATGTCGGCCTGTATGCAACTTGAGTTCAAATCTTCTCGGTATAAGTTGGATTAGTTTAAAGGGTGGTACTCTGCACATAATCACTTCTACTTTTCACACACCCTATCAATTTTCGGTCGTCTGATCGAATGAATTGATTAAGATCAATGGACAAAAATTAATAAAATGTGTGTTGCTCTAGTTTAAATTCAGATATTGAGCTATAAAAATAAATAAATAAAAAGATGTCCTGTCCAAAATCTCATTAGCTAAAGAGTAATGTTATTCATACCATAGGTGGCATTTGATGTGGACAGCCACATCATTTGAATTAATCAATTAATCAATTTTTAAATTTAGTTCATTATTTAATAAACTAATAATTAATAAAAACTACTTAATTAAATGATGATTGTGGTATACAGTCTTTCTCCTTCTTTTCCTTGGGTTTTGCAAATTTTTCAAATGATGTGGTTGTCCAAATCAGATGTCATCTAGGGCGTGTTTACCAAATCGGAATGAAAGTCTAGGAAACAGAATTGCACGAACTCCAAGTCATTCCAGTGTTTACCAAACCGTAGGGAATCAACATTCAGGTGGGACCCACCCAAAATCCGGAATACAATTCCTTAAACATCCGGAAATGGATTCTCGATCTGGGAGGTGGGAATTGAGTTCCTGGAAATAGATTCATAAGGGATCCAAGTTTTCTACCAATACTATCCTCATACTTTTTTGGTAAACCCAAATACACCTCACAATTTCACCTCCTCAGTTCCATGAACAGTCTATAGACCCATCTCTCTTCTCCCCAATCCCAACATTTCCTAACAGAGGAGCTTCAACTCCGATGAAATCCTGACCCCTTTCTCCTTGCCCCTTTGCCGCAGACTATCCAAAACCCATGCATGAACTCACAAAGGGAGGGGAAAATGTGTGGCATGTCCGCATGGTCATCTAAGAATAGGGGGTGGGGAGGGTTGTGATAGGTGGCGAGGAGCTGGGTTTGGGGATGTTGGGGGGGGGGGGGGGTAAGATGGCATCACAGTTTTCTATTTTTTGGGGTTTTTTTAATGTTATTTTATATTTTTAATAAATTTGTTAGTTATTTATTTTGCTAAATAGTTATGTTTTCATGTAGCTAATTGGATTTTATGAGCATATGTGGTTATCAAAATTAACCATTAACCATTAACTAGCATATAAAAATATTATTTCGAACAAGGGCAGTTTAGTAATCAAATAAGTTTCAATTCTGATTCATGTGAGTGAGTAAACAACTTTTATGTAATTAATATCATTTTTATTCTGATTCCAGATAATTTAGTAAACAACTTCAACATGATTCTAATTCTAATTCCACCTCATTTCATCTCCTTCTCAATTCAATTTCTTCTTAATTTAATCCATCGTACTCTAATTACGAATTAGTAAACTGACCGGTATAGAAATGTGGCATTTATTTACTACACTGCTCACTTAAACAACTTCGACCCCTTTCACCACTTTCCTCTCCCTCCTCCTCGGATCTCCGTCCCCTCCAATCCCCAATGGCGCCCATACAATTCCGTGCGCTCCTCATCGTCTCGGCGGTGCTGAGGGTGGTTTTAATCCTGTACGGAGAGTGGCAGGATGCCCACATGGAGGTGAGGTACACAGACATCGATTACATAGTCTTCTCGGACGCAGCTTCTCTAATGGCGTCTGGTAAATCCCCATTTCAGAGATCCACTTACAGATACTCTCCTCTGCTCGCCTTTCTGCTCCTACCCAATTCCATTCTCCATCGCTCTTGGGGCAAATTCATCTTCTCTGCTGCAGGTACTTTGTTTTTTATTCGGAAATATGCGCAAATAGAACTGGTCACAGACTTTTAATGGAAAATAGAACTGCAGATACTAAACAGATAATAACCCGTATATAAATTGCGCTTTCTTTTCCCTTTGTGTTTTATTGAACTTTTGTAACTTGTGTTGTGCAAATTATGTAGATTTGCTTGTGGGTTTGTTTATAAGGATCATTCTGAAGCTTCGCGGGGTGCCGGAGAAATTGAGCATGATTTCTGTGATTGTTTGGCTCTTTAATCCGTTTACTTTTACGATTGGGACTCGCGGGAATTGTGAGCCAATTGTTTGTGCTTTGGTTCTTTGGGTCTTCATATGTCTTATGAACGGTGTAAGTTTCTTTCTTTGTCTGATATTTACTGCCACTAATTATGTCAGTAATAAATGAGTCATATCTCTGAATTATCTTAATATGAATCAAATCGAATGCTTTTTATGAAAGTGAAATTATGTACTTGTATAAACCTCAGCAGAGATTACAGAAAGGGAAGCATTATTGGATGTAAGGTTCTTTTATGTTTCTTTCGATCCGGTGAGAGTATCTTCTGTGTATTGCATTTATCAAACTAGCAATGCGCTTCTATTTCTCGTGTTTTCTGTAATGATGTTCGAGCTTCTCATGATTCATTCTCTTTGAGGTGACTGTGCTAGATACCAACAAACATGGCACTGTCTTTGTTGTTTTCCTTTTTTTGATAATAGAATTATGATTTCAATATTCCCAAATGTTTCTCGGATTCAAAAAATCCTGTGCATTTTGTGAGCATGATCTCTCTATGAAAACCCAAGTAGGCATAGCATTCTGCTATAAGAAGCGTTAGTCAAACTAAATTTTTTGAACGGTTGTTATCGCTTCTGCCCATAACTGTTTTTTTTCTTCATGACAGGACGTGTGTTACAAGCTGCATTTTGGTATGGGCTTGTTGTCCACTTCAGAATCTACCCCATTATCTATGCACTCCCTATCCTTGTGATTCTGGATCCGCATGTGTTTCGACCTGGTCAGAAGCCTAGACTTCAATATTGGAATCGTCGGCAAGATTCACCTCAAAGCAGTTCTGTTACAAGACTCACTCAGCTTCTTTGCCCATGGTTTCTTTTGAAAAGTGCATTAACACGAGAAAGGATACTTTTCTCCTTTATATCTGCGGCCGTATTCTTCCTTTTCACTGGTTTATTCTATCATCTGTATGGGTGGGATTTCCTGTATGAAGCACTGTTGTATCATCTTACCCGTACTGATCCAAGGCACAATTTTTCCATTTACTTTTATCACATCTACCTTCAGTACCACCGTAAACTTTCGATATTGGAGAAACTCGTCTCATTTTTGCCTCAGTTGATAGTCCAGGTTGTTCTTGTTTTTAGTTTCGCCAAAGACCTTCCATTCTGCTGCTTAGTACAGACAGTGGCATTCGTGGCTTTCAACAAGGTTTTTCTCTTTATTACTATTTTCTCATATATAAATTGCTGGATTAGTAAATGTTTAACGTACCTGATTACTTTCGATGTTGCATTCCTAGTGGTTATTCTCATCAAAAACCTCTGCTTCAATACTGGACTTTTCTCTTTTTTTTTTCGCTAGCGTGCAATAGTGTACTTTCAAACATATGGTTTCTTATATAATTTTGTTTTCCCGACTGAATCTAAATTACTTCTGCTCATTGTTGACAGGTAATGACTGCACAATACTTTGTGTGGTTCTTTTGTCTCTTGCCGCTGGTTCTTGCTTGGAGCAACATGAAGCTTAAATGGAAAGGCCTATCGTGCATCGCATTGTGGGTAGGCGGTCAACTTCATTGGTTGTTTTGGGGTTATATGCTTGAGTTCAAAGGACAAAATGTCTTTCTTCAGCTCTGGATGGCAAGCATCATATTCTTAGCTGTGAACACGTACGTCTTAGTTTTGCTCATCCGCGACCACAGATTTTCTCCAGTTTTCGCACAGTTGGAGGAAACCTCCAAGGACTCGAAGAAACTTAAGTGATGATTCAGTTCTCTGTTTCTTCCCGCTGTTTTTGTCGATTAGATGAGCACATTTTGGCTATTTATTGGTTTTGATGTTCATTTTTCTTTCGCGTTTCATTCGGGCAATGTTGCAAAATAGTATGGTGAAAATTTTGGTTAATATACATTATGCGAAAAGTACCGATTGAAAAATATGCGAAAGAATGTGTATTGACGAACGTATATTTTTATGTAGTTTTGAGACACTTAAAAACCAGCTGTTGAATGCATACATAGTATGGTATTTAACTCTTTCTGGACTTAAATTTGTAGGTTATACTAGCAATCTGTTATGGTATTTATTTTAAGCTGCAACTGCAAAACTGTTATTTGCTTGAGAATTATTATGATATGAATTTTGGTCGATTTACTTGGAAACATTATTATTTAACTTTATATACTACTGAAAAGACGATATTTGGTTCCTTACATTGCAAAAAACCATTAATTAGTTAATGATGATGGGACGTTCTTTTATTGCACAAACATTGAAATCTTAACTGTTTATTCTCTTTATCATTCTCTAATGTTTAATCATTTATATGAATAAAATAAATTGACGATTAATTATGAGAATTTTTGGCATCATAACTCTCGATTTATTTAACACATCCACATAAATAAAATAAAAGGTTTTGATTATTAGGTTTGCATGTTCTAAGAAACACATTGCCGTTAGATGAGAAATAACTCAAGTAAATAGTTGGAATATAAATTTTTTTCAACTAAAAATTGTAGGGTCTAATCAAAGAGTTAACCCTTCAAAAAATTCTCAAAAATTGTAGGGTCTAATCAAAGAGTTAACCCTTTAAAAAATTCTCAAGAGCACAAGACTGAACCTCAACCCAAGAGAGGGTTAGGAAATAATTTTCAACCAGCAATAGATGCGCCTCGGTTAGAACCTCATTAGCTGCATCATTGCCCCAAGCGCACAGAAGTCATAGACCACCGCCGTTGGCTCCATTTTATGTTGCGTGAGCAACTCTACTTTCTGCACTTTGCCGGTGTGGGACGAGGTTTTCTTCTTCTTTCTTGACAACACATCACACAATTCAATATTATTTTGCCAAAACAATCCAAATACTACAAGCCAGATGACAAAGCGAAAGTCGTACAATTAAATATTATTTTCCTTCTGTTGAAAGGATACCTAATGTCTGTTGAGGCGAAAAGCCAAGTACGTAATTAACTTGACAATTTTTACAATCCTGCAACAGAAAAATGAACACAGGGACACAACAATTTGAAAATTCACTTCGATGAAATATTTGTTTGAGAATACAAGTCCGGCATCCTTAACATTTTATCCTCCAAAAATTTAAGGAAACGCTTGAATAACAGATTGGACTTATCGTCACTTCTTAAGGATACGAATGCACTCATTGTCACCCCAGTCATGAAGAACCCACTGCGTATCACAAAAAAAATGATAATATCGCACCCTTTTATCATGACGTGCGTATCTTGTTGTGAAAGAAAACTTAGAGAAAGACAATAAACTTAAAGGAATAATGGATAGCCAAAGTTTAATTGCACATCAACCCTTAGTTTTCTTGATTTCATATGTACTAACCATGATAATTGCAGCATCAGCATTTGGTATACGTACGATCGAAAAAGTCACCTCCAACATTCTCAACGCGATCGCACTCTGGAGCAAGAGAGACAACATGACGAAGATCAAAGTTAATGCCTCAAATCCAAGGACAGGCCTTGACTAGTAACCGCAGCGTAGTCCCATTACCCCCACCTACGTCTACTATTGTCTCAATCCCTTTGTAATACCTCTGGACAACTTTCAATCACTGCAAGCACAACCATCTTTGCACCACAGGCCATTGCATCATCGAAAAGCTTGCCGTGATCAGGATTGGCCGAGCAAAAGCTCCATATTGTTAGAACCGAGAATGAACACTTGATAAAACTCGTGATAAAAGTCTAAATTGTACTCAATAGCTGGGAGAATTTCCGTTATTGAATTCAAGAATACGATTGGCAATAAATAGCCTTACAAAGGAAACTAAAAATAAAGCAATGCAGCCCACGTACGAACAGTCCTATTTATGTGGTACACGACTAGAGATTAAAATCAACTAAACAACTTGTCCCTCAAGAATAGGGATTATTAACCACTACTTGAAGCATACCTAAAAACAAGGAGCCTAACTCTAACGGCTAGGAAATCCTAACAACTTCAACATCCTCCCTTAAACTGAATACTAACAACAATCAGTTTATACTTGAAGGTAAACAAACACCCATTAACTCCCGCAACTTTTGGAACACGTCCAACTTCAAAGGCTTTGTCATTATGTCTACAACTTGCTCCTGAGTAGAACACTGAGCCAATCCACGATTCTATCCTTAGTGAGATCACGAAGAAAGTGGAAACAAACATCTATATGTTTACTGCAACCATACATTACTGAGCCAATTCCACGACTCTATCCTTAGTTCTTTGAGAGCTTTATTGCAGAACTATTATCACAGAAAACCAACGTGGATTTGCGTTGTTTATGACTGAGCTGCTGTAAAATCCTTCTTAACCATATTGCTTGACACGCACTTGAAGCTGCATCAATGAATTCAGCTTCAGTGGTGGATAATGTGACCACAGGTTATTTCTTCGAAGACCATGAGACTACTCCTGAACTCAGCATAAAAACATACCCTGAAGAACTCTTCATGTTGTCTTGATCACCAGCATAATCATTATCCGTGTAACCAATGAGATCTTCATTTCCTCCCTTCTTGTAGAACAACCCAAAATCAATTATGCCCTTCAAATACCTTAGTACCCTATTTGCTGCCTGTAGATGGAGTTCAGTGGGACGTTCCATATACCTGCTAATTAAACTCACAACAAACATAATGTCAGGTCGTGTGGCAGTCAGGTACATAAGACTCCCCACGATCTGTTTATACATAGTGTTGTCAACCATGACCCCATCCTCATCCTTCGTCAGCTTAAAACTAGGAATAGCAGGATTATGCACTGGATTGCATTGATCCATGTTGAACCTTTCCAATACTTCCTGAGCATATTTTCGTTGGCCAACATAAATACCTTCTAACCTTTTCACCACTTTCATCCCAAGAAAATAACTCATCCTTCCAAGATCAGTCATATCAAATTCAATCATCATAGAATGCTTAAACTTTGAATATACTCATCATTTCCAATAAAAATAAGATCATCAACATAGGACATACAATTAACAGCTTACCTTCATCCATTGTTTTAACGAACAAAGTGTGTTCATGTAGGCACTTCTCGAACCTCTCCTTAATAAAGTAAGACTTTATACGACTATACCAAGCTTGAGGAGTTTGTTTAAGCCCATATAAGGCCTTCTTAAGCTTGTATACTTTCTGTTATTCCCCTTCTTTTTTTTTCCATAACCCAGAGGTTGTGCAACAAACACTTCCTCACTTAATTCTCCATGTAAGAACGCTAACTTGACATCTAGCTGATAAACTGACCAACTTTTCTAGGCTGCAAGTGAAAGTATAACTCGAACTGTGTCCAAACGAGCTACAGGTGCAAATACTTCAACATAATCCACTCCATATTGCTAACTGTACCCTTTTGCAACCAAGCGAGCCTTGTATTTGTCCACTTCACCATTCTCATTAATCTTTGTTTTGTAAACCCATTTAACTCCAATCATTTTCCCTCCTGATGGTAGCTCGATCAACTCCCACGTGTTGTTTCTTTCTATGGATTCAATTTCTGAATTCATAGCTTTCTTCCACTTTGCACGCTTCTCAGCTTCTTCATAAGTGATGGGATCACTGTCAACAAGCAAAGCTAAATGAGCCATGTCTTCATCTTCAGAAAAGCATTCTCCACACACATAATCTCTCATCCATGCTGGCTGTCTTCTAACTTGTTTGTCAATGGAAGTGACTTCATTTGGTGAGTCATAAGAGGAATCTCCTTCTGACGGGTGGTTGTTTTTATCTGATTCTTCACTGTCTAATGCTTCTTCTTCGGTAAGGTCCACATCTGCATCATCTCCTGCATCCTCTTTCTCATCTTTGGTCCATTCAAGATCAGCCATGATCGCCTCCTTGTGTTTCTCACCCCAGTCCCAAACTTTGTCTTCTTCAAAGACCACATCCCGACTTACAACTATGTTTTGAGATAGTGGATCAAATGGTTTATAGGCCTTGGATTCTTCACTGACTCCAAGTAATATGCATTTTGAACTCTTGCTATTGAGCTTAACGCTCTTATTGTTAGGAATATGAACATGTGACAAGCATCCAAAAACCCTAAAGTGTTCCACTGATGGTTTGATGAGTATATGAATGGTCCAATTGACTGCTTCTTGCCAAAAATTCCTTGGGATTTTCTTCTTTGAAAGCATGCTTTGAATCATATTCATAATAGTTTGATTCTTCCTCTTCACAATCGCTATTAGCTGCCTTTGAATGCCATGTATATTGCATAAAGTTGTGAACTCCTGTGATGTAAACTCACCCCCACGATCTATATGTAAGCTTCTTATACCTGCACCAGTTTCTTTTTCAACCCTAGCCTTGTAACTCTTAAAGGTAGCGAAGGCTTCTGATTTTTCTACCAAAAAAATACACCCATATCTTTCTATTACAATCATTCATAAAGGTAATGATGTACCTTTTCTTGTTGTTTGACATAGGACTTATTGGTCCACATATATCAACATGCACGAGCTGAATGATTATTGATGCCCTGCATGTGCTTTCCTTTGGAAATGGGTTTCTTTGTTGTTTCCCTACCAAGCAATCTTCACATACCTTCACATGAGCCTTAAGCTTTGGTAATCCTTTCACCATTTTCTTTTGTTGAAGAATTTTCAGACACTCCAGCTTAAGTGTCTGTATCTGCGATGCCAAAGTTGTGGTTGGTCTTCTGTCAAGGAGATGAGGCATCCTTGCTCCCGAAGTTGTGAACGAGCCAAGATAATGAACATTTTGTTGCCTACCATTATTGTCTCCATAATCAAACCCCGATCAGGATGAAATACTTTGCACTTGTCATGTTGCATGATAATTGCCAGACCTTTTTCTTGTAGCTGTCCAATACTAAGTAAATTATTTTTGAGGTCTGGCACATAGAGCACGTCAGTGATTACTTGCATGATTCCATTCACCTCTATACGTATATTCCCTTTCCCTTGCACAGGCAACCTCGAGTTGTTATCCAGCTTCACAGATTCCCTGAAGTTGTCATTAAACTTCGAAAAGATCTCCTTTTTGCCATACATGTGATTGCTGCAACTTGAGTCTAGAAACCACAATTCATCTCTGCCAGCCTCTTTGACATCCAGGTAAGCCATCAACAACATCTATTCTTTAGTCTCTGCGTAATTGACTTTTGAATCTTGACCTTTCTCTGGACATTCCCACTGAAAATGCCTTAGCTCATGGCAGTTGTAACACTCTAGCGTAGATTTTTCAAACATATACCTACCCCTTCCTCTTTCTTTTCCTATAACCACCATGTTTGCCTCTTCCTCTTGGATGATTGTCATGAGTCACATTCAGCACTTGTTCTTGCACAACATGTCTTCCCATCCTTTGTTCATGTACTAGCAAACTACTTTGAAGTTCATTAATGGACAAGATATCCAAGTCATTAGACTCTTCAATAGAACACACCACATAATCATATTTAGGTGTCATAGACAGCATGATCCTTTCAATGACCACGACATCTCTCATCTGCTCTCCGTGGATCCTTATCTTGTTGGCAATGGTGAGGGTTCGTGCAAAATACTCATTCACTGATTCACCGACTTTCATGTGGAGTACCTCAAACTCTTTGCGAAGAGCTTGTAGCTGTGCACGCTTAACTCGTGTTGTCCCTTGGTACTTTTGCTTCAAAGAGTCCCATATATCTTTTGTAGTGTCTTTCTTCAGAATTGTCTCCAAAATTGAACGATCAATGGCCTGGAACAGATAGTTCTTTGCCTTCAAATCTTTCAGCCTTTGATCATCCATTGTCTTCTTCTGTGCATTAGTGAGATCCGTCCCTTCTGTTGCTATAAGGATCCTAGTCTTCACCAAACTCCAATATTATTTGGAGCGCAAGAAATTCTCCATGAGCATGCTTCAGTGATCATAGTGTCCATAGAATCGTGGGATCGCAGTTTGCACAAAGCTGCTTTCAGTGGCCATGGTGTTGCTGCTTCACGACAAAACTAGTTGCGAAGCTTCAAACTTTTGATCAGGACCCGTGATGGGGCTCTGATACCAGATGTTAGAACAGAGAATGAACACTTGATAAAACTTGTGATAAAAGTCTAAATTGTACTCAATAGTTGGAAGAATTTCTGTTATTGAATTCAAGAATACTAATGGCAATAAATAGCCTTACAAAGGAAACTGAAAATAAAGCAATGCAGCCCACGTACTAATAGTCCTATTTAAGTGGTACAGGACTAGAGATTAAGATCAACTAAACAACTTGTCCTTTAAGAATAGGGATTATTAATCACTACTTGAAGCAAACCTAAAAACAAGGAACCTAACTTTAACGGCTTGGAAATCCAAACAACTTCAACACATATGTCCCCACCATGTACTTCGTCAAACCCGATATTGCTTATATCACCTCAAATTTGGGTACTTATGTTGAGCCATGGTGACCACATTGCCAGACTATTCTCCAGCAAGATTAGTGCCGCCATGCTTTTTTCTCTGGATTTAAGTAGCCGGTGAGACAAAGGTGTTGTGCATAACCTTTGGGGCCTGATTAGATTGTTGATTTTTCTTTGAATATTTTGAGGTGGACTAGTGCCTTCATAACATGGTAAAGGAGAGAAGGATCACATCCTAAAGCATATGATAGCTATAAGAGTGTCAAGGGCTTCTATGGTTTTCAATTGCTTCAGGTATTCCAAGCTTAATGGCGCAACTTACTACCGCGATTTCAACAAATCCGAACATATATTTCAATATCTCCACCTTGGCATGTTCTTCTTCTACCTCTTCCAAAATGAACTCCATCTTAATCCTTCATCTCTGTGTGTGTGTGAGAGAGGGTCTCTTAGGATCTTAATTAGCAGTATAAATAATTTGTGTGAAGAGATTAGTTCCAGTATAATTTATTAAAGGTTTGGCCTTGCTTATGCATCTCAACTTTTTTCGATAAAGTATTTTATCAAATGGTACTTGATAAATGATTGGTTTGAGGTTGAAGGTCTGAGCCAATACTGTATTAGTGTAAACTAATATTCTTAATAGAAAACTTCATTTTAATCCTTGGCAAAGATGACTTTTAGATTAAAATATGAGTAAGATCAAAATCTAATTTCAGTCCCTTGTGTCACATCCTAGGCTTGACTCCACCGTAGCATGATATTATCCGCTTTGGGCCTCGACCACGCTCTCACGGTTTTGTTTCTGAGAACTCACACGAGAATTTCCCAGTGAATCACTTATCCTAGGATTGCTCTTGTGCGAACTCGCTTAACTTCGGAGTTTCGATGGAACCCGAAGCTAGTGAGCTCCCAAAAGGCCTCGTGCTAGATAGAGATGAGAATATACATATAAAGCTTATATGATCCATTCCCCTTGGCGATGTGGGATGTTACAATCCACCCCTTTTAGGGGCCCAGCGTCCTTGTTAGCACGCTGCCGGCCAGGGATTGACTTTGATACCAAATTGTCACATCCCGGCCCGGGCCCCCACCACATCTCAAGCTCGACTCCACCATAGCATGATATGGTCTGCTTTAGGCCCCAACCACGCCCTCATGGTTTTGTTTTTAGGAACTCACACGATAACTTCCTAGTAGGTCACCCATCTTAGGATTGCTCTCGCGCGAACTCGCTTAACTTCGGAGTTCTGATAGAACCCGAAGCCAATGAGCTCCCAAAAGGCCTCGTGCTAGGTAAAGATGGGAATATACATATAAGGCTTACAAGATCCGTTCCCCTGGGCGATGTGGAATGTTACACCTACCTGATTTATTAATTATATTTTTATTTATTAATTATTTCTCTTTTTCTTCCTAATTTTTAATGTATTAATTTTATTTCATTATAATTTTCATTTTCATTCCATTTATCGTAATATATTTTGTTGTAAACACTTAGATAAACTAATTTTTGTTATACAATGTATTTCGATGTACTTTGTCTTCTTCATTTAGGTACGTTAAATTCATTATAATACATTTCGATGCATAGATTTAGGTACACACATTTCGGTATATACATTTCGATATAAACATTTAGATACATTAATTCAATATAACACATTTCGGTGCATGCATTTTGGTACACACATTTAGGTACATTAATTTAATATAATACGTTTCAGTGCATATATTTCGGTACATACATTTCGGTACTAACATTTAAATACATTAGTTCAATATAATACATTTGGGTACACACATTTCGATACTAACATTTAGGTACATTAATTGAGTCTTTCAAGTTTGAAGAATGTTAAATAAAATTAATAAATTAAAAACCTCTTTTTTGGAAAAAAAAAATAAATTAAAATTTGTATATTAATAAATTTAACTATTTAATGGGAGACATTAAATAAAATGCACATTAATTATTTTGAATTAAGGACACATCAAGGGATTATAATCGATATGTAATTTAACACCAGGTTTATTTTAAATTTCAATATTCTTGAAGTATTAAAGTTAAAAAAACCACAGTTAATTAAGATCTAACACCAAAAGATATAGGTGCTAAGGCAGATGTTTTGGGAGTTTAGTAAAATATTAGCTAAAGCCTCGTCTTTCGCTGTTGTATCAAAGTACATCACGAGCAAAACTACAAAATAATAAGAATATTATTAAATAAACAAGAATGCCAAAATGGTTACAAAACCCCAAGAGATTACATCGCGACTAACTTGTTATTCAATAGAGTTACAAAGTACCATATATATATATATAACACTTGACCCTAATAAGCAAGGAAACGAAACCCTAATATTAATGGGCTAGGCCGAAAATACGATTCATTAAAATAAATTTAAATACTAATATTTTCCAACAAAACATTGATTTGACCTAGCTAGCCAGCCGGCCCTCTCTCTTTTACATGCTCATGGTTGAAAGTGAATCCCACATCAGAAAATTAAAATCATTATCAAATTGTAGAAACCTCTCTTTTGCCTCTTCTTACTTGTCCCTACTCTTACGAAAGTTTCTATCCATCGGTTCAGCCTCGTTAAGGACATTGAAACACGAAACTTGGTTGTTTAATTTGAAGGTTACAGGTAGGTATATCTTAAAACTCAAAGAATTAGGGTTCCCAAAAGTATGCTTATTGCCAAAGAAAGTTACATATCAGCCACAACATGTTTCACTAATTTGATTGCCAACCATTCTAAGACTACAAGCAGACTACACAAGGCAAACATGCCTGCTGGGACGGGAAACTTGAAAATACAATATTACACTACACTTATTTGAGAAACCAAGGGCACGTTTTAAAACGATTTCCCCCTTTTAGTTTTTAAAACAAAAATGTTATTCATACCTCCTATTTGTATCATTACTTAGAAGCATCTTCAAAGGATTTAAATTTTGTTCTCCACCTGATAAGTATTTTTAGAACAAAAAATACTAATGAAAATGATAAAGAACATCTATTAATCACTAACATAAATTTGAAGTTGGTGTCAAATTTGGCAGCAACCACTTTTGCTGTCAATCCACATCATGTTAAATAAGAATTGGTATTTTGATTAAAAAACATTAATACTTTCTTTTTTACTGTTATTGTTGATGTGTACTTTTTTTTACTTATCTTTGGAGATACTTTTAACTAGTATCTATCTATTAACAAAACCCTCCATATTGACTATAAGATGGTGAAGGGATAATTTGGTTTTTTTTTCAATCACAAAATGAAATTATGGGCAATACAAAGGCTTGAAAATTTATGGGGAAACTTGATATAAGTCCAATTTTTTGAGCCAATAGTAGGAACAGTCCAGTTTATTAAAATAAGTCCAATTTGTTATATTTAATTATTTAATTATCAATAGTTATCTGTTTAATGATAAGATTTATTATAAAAATCAAATTTCTTTCTAATTATCTCTTTGCTTATTTCTTTTTATTTAACTTTTTGTTATTTCTTGTTCTTCCTCCTGCTTTAAACCCCATTTATAGATTTTAATTTTAATTTTTATAATCAACCTATATCACAGGTTAATCATATTTATCTACCCATATGACATATTCTTTTTTTATAATCTACCTATCAGAGATTAACATGTCTTGCTTGTAGGTATGTTATGTTTTTTCTACCTTTTAATTAGGTTTCATGTATCACGTATAGGTATTATATACATTCATATATTTGTTATTTGAGTTAGGGTAGAATATTTTACGGATAAATTTATGTTAGTATATTAGTTTTTTTATTATAAGATATTAAATATATATTTTTGGAGTTGGAAAATGCATAATATTAGAAGATTTTAATTGATTTTTAATATTTTTAAAAAATATAAAATAAGTATAAAAGAAATAAAAACATATAATTAGGTAACTAGACTCATTCCTAAAAACACTCTATTTGGACTAGATCTAAAAGCCCCAAAATTTATTAGCAGAACGATTGGGTAAAGACCTGGACTGTTCGTGCGTATAGTCAACCATGCGGATAGAATTGCTAAAACCTGATCTAGCCAGCATCTGGAATCTGCAACTGCTCCAATCTGTTGCTTCCTAATACGTAAGGTAATCTTGCTTCTGAGTTTATGATTTATCTCTTAATATTTATATTTCCTGATCAGGCAATTAATCTCTCTCTCTCTCTCTCTGCAACTTCTTTTTTGACGATTCTCTGTTAAACCAATATCATAGGTTGTACTATTTCTATCTTATTACTTACTGTATATAGTAATTAGTCCTAATCTCTATTACATCTCTTTTGTAAAACGATCGTTAATTTGCATGTTATATGAATATGTATGTGGATTTGAAGGCTATGAAAACTCATACACATATGCTTCGTTTTGTGTCTAAGATTGAATTTGAATTACTAACCTTCTAAATTTAAGGTATACCGAAGGTAGAGGAGAATGATTTGGGTTACCAGAATGATGTTCCATTTTGAGGGGGTTAGAAGGAAACTTATCCTCCTTAATCCTATGATTGTGGGGATGATTGGAATGGATAAGTTTTCTACCTTCAACATACCTTGAAAATAGTTGCTTATCCTTTCCAATCCAATCTATACGAAATGAGGCCATAAGTTTAGCCTAGGAGATTTAATCGGTACTTTTGACTTGTGGGTTTTCAGGCTATGAATATGGCTGCTTCTTCGTCGGATGCTGCTATCTCCCCTTATGCTTTGAAGTATGATGTGTTTCTTAGTTTCAGAGGCGAGGACACCCGCAATACTTTTACCAGCCATCTTTATGCTGCTTTATGTAGGAAGAAGATCAATACCTACATAGACGACACCCTTGAGAGAGGAGATCAAATTGCACCTGCCCTTCTAAAAGCAATTGAGAAATCAAAGCTTTCGGTAATCATTTTCTCGGAAAACTATGCTTCTTCCACATGGTGTTTGGATGAAATTGTGCATATACTGGATTGCAAGAAAAAAAATGGACAAGTTGTTATACCAATTTTCTACAACATCGACCCATCACATATACGAAAACAGCAGGGGAGTTATGAAGATGCATTTGTTCAACACGAAGAACGTTTCAAGGACAGTGTGGAGGGAGTGACGAAGGTGTGCAAGTGGAGAGATGCTCTGAAGGAAGCCGCCAATCTGTCCGGGTTTGTTTATTCAAACAAAACAGGGTAACTAACTCTGCAACTTGAACCAATTTCTACCAACCATTTTTATCAAAAAGGTTCGTTAAGGCACACTTATTAATATTTTTTGTTGTTGATATTCACATTTGCTAGGACGGAGGCCAATTTCATTGAAAAAGTTGTTGAAGATATTTTGACGAAATTGAATCGAATATCATCAAGTGATTTGAAGGGCCTGGTTGGAATTGAAAAGAAAATTAAGCAAATAGAATTGTTATTGTGCATTGATTCCCCAGATGTTTGTACTGTTGGTATTTGGGGCATGGGTGGTATTGGAAAGACAACTCTTGCAGATGCTTTATATCACCAACTCTCTTCTAAATTTGAAGCTTCTTGTTTCCTTGCAAATGTTAGGGAGGAGTCAGAAAAACATGGACTGAACTACTTGCGAAATGTGCTAATTCGTGAGATATTAAAGGAAAAGGATCTTGAGATCAGCACTCCAACTATAGGATCAACTTCTGTTCGAGAAAGGCTCAGCCGTACAAGGGCCCTCATTGTTCTAGATGATGTGAATGCTTCGAGGCAGTTAGAACTTCTACTTGGTGATCATGTTCAGTTTGGCCCCGGAAGTCAAATCATTATAACAACTAGAGATAAGCGCCTACTTAAGAGAAATGTTGACAAGATATATGAGGTTAAGGGATTAAGTTGGGAAGAATCTCTTGAGCTCTTTCATTTGCATGCTTTCAAAGATAAATGTGCTGAATCACGTTGTGCAGAGTTGTTAGGGACGGTGGTAGATTATGCCGGAGGGATGCCATTAGCTCTCAAGATTTTGGGTTCCTTATTCCTTCACTGCAACAACAGTAAAGACTGGGAACATCAATGGAATGAGTTGAAAAAATTTCCCAACAAAGAAATTGAGAACATGTTGAGACTAAGTTACGAGGGATTAGAACGAAATGCAAGGGAGATATTTCTTGATATTGCATGTTTCTATAAAGGGACGACACTAGATTGTGCAAAACAAATGTTAGATGTTCGTGGGTTCTTTGAGGGTGGAATTAAAGTTCTGATTGATAAGTCTCTGATATCAATTTCAAAATGGAACTGTTTGGAGATGCATGATTTGGTACAAGAAATGGGTAGGGCAATTGTTCATGAACAATGTATTGAGGAGCCTGGAAGACGCAGTAGGTTGTTTGTTGCTGAGGATATTTATCACGTATTGAAAAATAATACTGTAAGAGCCAAATGCATCGGTTTCTTCCGAACATAAATATATATAAGTTCTTAAGTTTTCTATAAAATGACACTCGTATATGAAAAGCTCATTTATAATGAACTAGTCAGATACATATCATACAAATGTAGTTCTGATTAAATTTTATTGCATATTGCATATATTCACATTTATACTTTGCTCTTGAATGTCTACAGGGAACTGAAACGGTTCAAGCAATAATCTTTAACGGGTCTAAGAATGGACAGCAACACTTGGATTTTGCAGACTTCAAAAAGATGTCCAATCTAAGATTACTTACTGTCAAGGATTCTAGCTTTGGGAAGTACTGCAAATTTAAAGTTTCTCTTCCCAATCCTCTTAGATATCTTTGCTGGGAGGAATATCCTTTGAAATGTTTACCAGCAAAATTTTCTCCAGAAAATCTTGTTGAGATTCGAATGGGCCGCTGCAAACTTGAGCAACTTTGGAATAAAGGCCAGGTATATATACTTATTACTTTCTTGTATAAACTTTGTAGCTTGGAAACTTTTCCTGGCTAAGTCCTTAAGTCTTATAATTTCTCCCTAATTTGTTACAGAATCTTAGGAACTTAAAAGTGATGGATCTTCATCGCTCCGATAAACTGATCAAAGTTCCAGATCTCTCTCAAAGTCGAAAAATAGAGCATATAAATCTATTTGGTTGTAGAAGTTTGGTTAAAATACCTTCGTCTTTACAATGTCTTGACAGACTTACTCATCTTGACCTTGGAGAATGCTCGAGTCTCAAATATCTTCCAGATATGCCAGAAAACATTGAATACTTGGATTTATCAAAGACTGCTATACGGGACTTGCCTTCATCAGTTTGGAATAACGAAAAGATCTCGTACTTGAATATTCAATGGTGTAAATACCTTGAGAATCTTCCAAGCAACAATTGTAAGATGAAACTACCGCTTGGTTTTGGTTTACAGGGATGCTTATCTCTTGCCAAGTTTTGGGAGCTCCCCCGAAATCTAGTGGTGTTAGTGATGGTGGGGGCAAAAATAGAAACATTACCCTCATCAATTGAGAGTCTCTTTGGTCTCCGAAGAATTGAACTGAAAAATTGCAATAGGCTTCTAAGTATCCCAACAAGCATTTGTGAGTTGAAATCGCTCGAGGAACTTGATCTCACTGGTTGCTCTAAATTTGAAGACTTTCCAGAAATTTTGAAGCCTATGGGTTATCTGAAGTACCTTTGGTTAAATGGAACGGCTGTTAAAGAGTTACCCGAATCAGTCGAGCATCTCTTTGGTCTCCGAAGAATTGAACTGAAAAATTGCAACAGGCTTCGGAGTCTCCCAGCCAGCATTTTTAGGTTGAAATATCTTGGGGACCTTAATCTCACCGGTAGCTCTAAGTTTGAAGACTTTCCAGACATTTTGGAGCCTAGGAGAAATCTGAAGTATCTTTGGTTAAATGGAACGGCTGTTAAAGAGTTACCCTCATCAATCGAGCGTCTCTTTGGTCTCCAAAGAATTGAACTGAAAAGTTGCAACAGGCTTCTGAGTCTCCCAGCAAGCATTTTTAAGTTGAAATATCTTGGGGAACTTGATCTCACTGGTAGCTCTCAATTTAAAGACTTTCCAGAAATCTTGGAGCCTATGGTTAATCTGAAGTATCTTTGGTTAAATGGAACGGCTGTTAAAGATTTACCAGAATCAATCGAGCGTCTCTTCGGTCTCCGAAAAATTGAACTGAAAAATTGCAACAAGCTTCAGAGTCTCCCAGCGAGCATTTTTAAGTTGAAATATCTTGGGGAACTTGATCTCACTGGTATCTCTAAATTTAAAGACTTTCCAGAAATCTTGGAGCCTATGGGAAATCTGAACTATCTTCTGTTAAACGGAACGGATGTTGAGGTGTTACCCGAATCAATCGAGCATCTCTTTTGCCTCCGAAGACTTGAACTGAAAAATTGCAACAGGCTTTTGAGTCTCCCGGCAAGCATTTTTAAGTTGAAATATCTTGTGGAACTTGATCTCACTGGTAGCTCTCAATTTGAAGACTTTCCTGAAATCTTGGAGCCTATGGGAAATCTGAAGTATCTTTGCTTAAATGGAACGGCTGTTAAAGAGTTACCCTCATCAATCGAGCGTCTCTTTGGTCTCCAAATAATTCAACTGAAAAATTGCAACAGGCTTCTGAGTGTCCCAGCAGGCATTTTTAAGTTGAAATATCCTGTGGATCTTGATCCCACTGTTTGCTCTAAATTTAAAGACTTTCCAGAAATCTTGGAGCCTAAGGGAAATGTGGAGCATCTTAGGTTAAATGGAACGGCTGTTGAGGAGTTACCCGAATCTATCGAGCGTCTCTTTGATCTCCGAAGAATTGAACTAAAAAATTGCAAGAGTCTTCTGACTCTCCCAGCGAGCATTTTTAAGTTGAAATATCTTGTAGAACTTGATCTCGCTGGTAGCTCTAAATTTGAATACTTTCCTGAAATCTTGGAGCCTATGGGAAATCTGAAGTATCTTTGCTTAAATGGAACGGCTGTTAAAGAGTTACCCTCGTCAATCGAGCGTCTCTTTGGTCTCCAAAGAATTCAACTCAAAAATTGCAAGAGTCTTCTGACTCTCCCAGCGAGCATTTTTAAGTTGAAATGTCTTGTAGAACTTGATCTCGCTGGTAGCTCTAAATTTGAATACTTTCCTGAAATCTTAGAGCCTATGACAACTCTGACGTATCTTCGGTTAAATGGAACAGCTGTTAAAGGGTTACCCGAATCTATCGAGCATCTGGTTTGTCTCTTTAGAATTGAACTGAAAAATTGCAACAGTCTTCTGACTCTCCCAGCGAGCATTTTTAAGTTGAAATATCTTGTAGAACTTGATCTCGCTGGTAGCTCTAAATTTGAATACTTTCCTGAAATCTTGGAGCCTATGGGAAATCTGAACTATGAAATCTTGGGAAATCTGAACTATGAAATCTTGGAGCCTATGGGAAATCTGAAGTATCTTTGCTTAAATGGAACGGCTGTAAAAAAGTTACCCGAATCAATCGAGCATCTCTTTGCTCTCCGAAGAATTGAACTGAAAAATTGCAACAGTCTTCTGACTCTCCCTTCGAGCATTTCTAAGTTGAAATATCTTAAGGAACTTGATCTCACTGGTTGCTCTAAATTTGAATACTTTCCTGAAATCTTGGAGCCTATGCTAAATCTGCAGTATCTTTGGTTACATTGAACGGCTGTTAAAAAGTTACCCGAATCAATCCAGCGTCTCCTAGCTCTCCGAAGAATTGAACTGAAAAATGACAACATGCTTTTTAGTCCCCCGACAAACATTTATAAGAGACTGCGTGAAGAGTTTGATGCAAGTGGAAGTGAAATGTTTAGCTCATATGAGGAACAAGAAGACGATGTACTTCCACAGACAATGAAAAGAAAAAAAAACTGTTAGTGCAAGATCAAACATGTTAAATTGCAGTGAAAAAGCTGTGGCAGCCAAAGTTCTTGCTTGTTTGGTCTTCTTTGTTGCAAGCTTTCGGCTCTCCAACGTAAGAATTTAAAAGAAAGAAAGATTGATTTATTCAAAGTTCAGCTTTAATGCCCTTTACACATATATACATAGTTGAGAATTGCAATTGAATTTAAATTCTTACGAACAGACTAGCATGCTACGTTCTATGTGAAAGACACTTACATGTTTTTTATTTGGAACAGGTACTAAGCTATTCTATGAGCATCCTTGCATTACTTTGAGGCACTACAGGAAGAAAAATAAAAAAGAGCATTCAACTGAGACGGTTTCTTAGCAATAGAATGCAAAGGGGAAAAAACAGAAGATAAAGCAGGAGAGCTTCTTTCCTCACGGTATTGGTTTTTCTTAGTGTTGCTAAACGATTCAACTAGCATTAAATTCGACAATATTCCGTCCATATTTTTCCGCATTGTCCATCATTTCTCATTTCGAATATAGCTACACCCCAGCAGCACATTAACTTGCATGTTTTTACTTATCGAATTGCAGGTAATTACAAGTAGGGAAATGATTCCCTCAGATCTTTTCTCGTTCTACACATCACACTTTATTTATGCTACTTGAATCTCCTTGGATTTGTTCAACACAAAGGTCAAAAGTAAGCATGGGTGTGGTAAATAAGTTCCCTTATAACTACATATGGCTGCTTTTGCTGTTAACCCTCCTTGAGCAAAAGATGATGTCTTTCTCACTTTCAGAGTGAGGGCACCCGCAAAAACATTTATTGGCCATCTTCAGGCTTCTTGTTACTTCAAGATAATATTCTCACCAACACAAGTCATGAGGTAGGAGGTGGAATTGCGTCTTCCCTTGTGGAAGCAGTCGGGAAATCCAAGCTTTTGGTGATCATTTTCTCAAAAAAACAATGCTTCTTCCTCACGGCACTTGGTGTTTGGGATGAACTTGTGCATATACTAGAATGGAGATAAAAGATGCGGGTGGCAGCTTGTTATACCCATTTTTTTTGCAACATCGATCCATCACATGTACGAAAGCAGCAGGGGCGTTATGCTGGCACATTTCATCGAATTTGAAGAACGTTTTCAAGGAAATAATGGACAAGGTGCACAAGAGGACGGCAGCCTTGACGTCTACGGCCAATCTGTCTGGGTTTGATGCTTCAATCAATATTAGGTAACAGGCTACCTCTTGTAACCGGTATTAATTTCTAGTGATGCTCACCTAGGGTCCTTATTTTGAGGAAAATAAAAACGCATAAGAATTCGTCGACAGCTTCATTCATTTCTCCAGATTTGGTGTATAAACATATTCCCAACCAAAACATCTTATGTAATTCGTTTAATCAGCCGCCTTGAACTTCCTTTCCAGTTTCATTTATCCAAATGGATTTAACAGCCCATGTTTTCGAATGCAGATGCAGTGCTACTGCAAGAAACCCCAGAGGATCATAATCAGAGTTACCCGAATCAATCAAGCGTCTCTCACTAAAAACAGGGCCTTCTTTAACTATTCGTGTATTAAGCATCATCTATTGCCAGCTGCTACAGGAGGTAATCTCTAATCCTATAGCGAAATAAACTATACGAGGAATTAATAATGTTTTGAGTACTTCGTTCATTTCCTCATGAAGTTTTTATTTGACTATCAATATTTTCTTCTCAAACTTTTATTTTGATCAAGTATATGTTAAGAATGAATCGCACTGGAGAAAGAAGGGGACTTTGTATGTGATTATAAGGAGTTGGACTACACATATTGTTAGTTGGTTTTCGGTTGGAACCTCAACTTAGTGTCATAGGGCTTCCATGGTTTTCAATTGCTTCAGCTATTTTCCGCCTTGGCATGTTCTTCTTCTTGTTCTTCCAAATTCAACACCCTCTATTGAATGGTACTAGATAAACGAGTGCTTTAACGTTGAAGGTTCGATCCAATACTGTATTAGTGTAGATTAATATTCGCAATTAGCTAATTAAGATCAAACACCAAAAGATACAGATGCTAAGGCAGATGTTTTGGGAGTTCAGTAAAATAATAGTTGAAGACTTATGTCTTTTGCTACTGTATCTTATTCACAAATGAAGATCCCTTTGTGGACTGCAGTCCAGTAAGGAGTTTGTATAAAGATGCCAACTGAACAGTAATAAATGATGTAAAGGAGCCTGCTTCAACCGCTCATCTAAACAAAATATTGATTTGACCTCGCCGGCCGGCCGGCTTCTCTCTCGTACGTGCTCATTGTTGAGAGTGAAATCCACATTAGAGAATTTAAAAAATCATTACTAAACTGCGGAAACCTCTCTTATGCTTCTCCTTGCCCCTACTCTTACTAAAGCTTCAATCCATCAACTCAGCATCGTAAGGACATTGAAACACAAAACTTGGTTGCTTAAAAGCATTTTGTTTCCCAACAATATCCTTAATGGCATAGGAAGTTATATATCAGCCACAACACATTTCACTAATCTTATTGCCAACCGTTCAAAGACTAGAAGCAGACTACACAAAGCAAACATGCCTACTGGGATGCTAAGGGCACGTTTTAAAACCATTTCCTTTTTTAATTTTTAAAAAAGTGAAAACTGAACACCAAAACCAAGTCAAATTTTGAAACCTAAAAAAATTTAGCTTTCAGTTTTTGGCTTCCAACTAAAAACGAAATGGTAATCAAACAGCCCTTAAATTCCTAACTTTGTGCGGTCTAAATTTAAGAAAATGCTTGAATACCAAAATATTGGATAGCATGAACATGTGTGATAGTGTGTCCAGTAAAGTCAGCCCCCCCAAGAATATATTCCCATTCCTCCAAGCTCCTTTCTTTGCCTTTCTTAGTGTCGACGATCATCACCACATCTAACATCAATTTCACATTTGCTAGCTTCTTGTCTTCTTTCTCATCTTTTCGTCGATAACGGCATCTATGATTATAACCTTCCCAGTGTCCTTAGGAACAGCTTCCGGACACTTCTTTAGGATACGAATGCAGTTGTCGTCTCCCCAATCATGGAGAACCCCCTAGCGGTCATGGAAATACAATCGATCAGATCACAGCCTTAATCGTTATCTCGTTGAGCAAGAAAACTTATAGCAAGATAATTACGGAGAAATGCTACAAGAACCACACTATATATAGTGAAAGTTCATGAATTAATTAACATATGGTTAATGGTCACAAATGAAAATATAAATGCTTGTCAGCCATTTTTAAAACAAACCTTCGTGATCACAGCATCGGCCTTTGGAACACAGTCAAACATGTCACCTGCTACATTCTCCACGCGATTGCACTCTGGAGAAACAGAGACAACATGCGAAAGATCAAAGTTAATGCCCCGCCAACATCCACTATTGTCTCAAGCCCTTTGCAACTTTTGATCTCCGCAGGCACAACCGCCTTTGCGTCACAAGTCATTGCATCATTGAAAAGCTTGCTGTGATCAGGATTGGTTGTGCCGAAGCTCCATAGGTCCTTGTACTTCCTCAAACGCTGGATTGCTAGTGGCTCCTTGAATTCGGGCACTTAGGCCTAGCAATGGTGCCATCATTACTGGATTACTCCCCATCAAGATCGGTGCTGCCATGCTAATTTCTCCGGATTTTAGTAGCCGGCGAGACCAAGGTGTTTGTGCGTAACCACTGGAGCCTTTTTGGGTTGTGTTTAGGTCTTTGAATATTTTGCGGTGGACTAGTGCCCTCATGAGGCGGTAAAGGTGAGAAGGATCACAACTTAGAGCAGATGAGAGCTCTAAGAGTGTCATGGGGCTTCCATGGCCATCAACTGCTTCAGCTTCCGAGCCCAATGCCACATTTTACCACCGCGATTTCAACAAATGTTTCCACACGTCCACCTTGGCATGTTCCTCTGCCTCTTCCCAAGTCAACTCTCTTTGTTTCTCTTCCATCTTTTTGTGTGTGTTTCTTAGGCTCTAAACTAGCACTATATCTACACACAATTTACGGGAAGGGATTGGAGTTGAAGTTTTGATGAATTACATATGTTGAACATTTATGAAAATGTCCATCACTTTAGTCAAAGATTCAACTACCCAGTTTTCAATAATGTTTGTTTCCTTTTCTGAAAAGTATATCCAGTGAAACCGTTTGCGCGATTGGTTGAAATCCGTATGATGTGCTTGGTGGAAGTATTTAATCCAATAATGTTGGATGAGTAGTAAACTACACATTGGTTAAGCTCTAACATCAAACGCCGGTGCATAACATGCGTTGATCCAATAATTAAACTTCCCGACTTCTACTAAAGAAAAAAGACTAGGCATCCTTGAAAAAGTCTTTTCCGTTGTGAAAGTCTTGCTTTCTTTCTTTCAATTACACTAATCCAACATTTGTTGGATCAATCATTTCAAACAAAAAAGAGTTTGATGTTACAGCTTAAAATTGAGTAGTTTACAACTCATCCAACTTATATAGTGGGGTGGGTGCTCCCTGCTTGACAAGCCTGCTAGGCATACCAAGCAGCTAGCAGGCCCAGCACCCATCGCCTTAGAGATGACAAGCTCGCCACACCCATCACATGTTGTGTGTTGATCTTGGGGCATTCTCGCTCATGGGTGTCGGCGACAGTGGTGCTCCAACACCACCGTCACCGCCAACATGGGTGCGGGGGGAGAAATCTTTGGGTGGATTTTTTTCGACATGCTTGGGAGTGAGAACGATACGTTTTAGCTCAAGCATGAAGATTTTAATGTGACCCCCAAACTCGAGAGAGGGGGTGGGAATTTGTGAGTTGTTTTTCTTCGACATGCTTGTCTGTGGGAATGCAAGTACTTTTGGGGATGCGGGTACTACACATAAGCTTGTCGAAATTAACCTTGGTAGCAGATTTCTTCCCTCGGTTGCCTTTGGAATTGAGTTGGATATTAGCAAGGGGTGGCATTGGATGAACCAATGCATAGGCTTGTCCTAGGCGTGCTTGTAGGTGCACAGCTATGGTGTTCATGGACGTTTGTTTTCTGAAGGATTCACCTAGTCCACTAGCATGTTGAAGATGAGTTTTTGCGGCAGCAATGAAGAAGCTCGTCCCTCTTTTCCTGTTATTGCTATTAGATTTTGGTTATCTCGATAAGATTTTTATTAACCATAGTTCCCAATTAGAAATGATCCCAATTAAGTTTAAGTAAATAGCATAAGATTACTTAGAGGTCTGAAGAAAAAAAAAATTGTTTTAGTTTTATCAATAGTCCTCCAAATTGGTGCAAATATATGCATAAGGAAGAGTTAAGGCACATAGCCATAATGGACGAAGAATCTTTCAGACACTCCTCTATATCACCCTAGAGATAGACTCCTACGCTATAACACATTTTGAGGCATCATGGAACCCAAATGTTAGCATTGGAGGAATATTTTAATTTAACTATGATATGTTATTAGTAGTAGAAGACGAAAAAGTAGAACAATAATGCAATAGAGTGAAAAATATTTCACAATAGCACCATGCAAAGTTACGTACAATAATTCAAGCATCAGATAAAAATGTAAACATCAGTGTAGAATCCGCCATAATAAATGATATAATGAGATAAAAATAAATAAAGAATAAAGTTTGGTCCATTAATAAACATTTCCCACCAAAAATATCTTTATGATTAAAAGTGAATAGCAATAAGAGATTTTATTAAACCTCCGAAAAAAAAAAACTGTTTGGTATTCTACTTGAGTTCAAGGGTTTTAACTCAAAAATTGTTTCTTAATTCTCAACTTAAAAACTTGTTTGGTAAGGATGTTTTGTGAAACTTGAATTAAAAAATAACTCAAAAACTAGCCTAAAATCTGAGAACAACAAAAGTCTGTTTTTCTTGTTTATTTTTTGCTCTTTCTTCCCAACATCTGCAAGACCTTAGGCCATCTCCAACTGAAGGAGGACCAAGAGGCTCTCTTTGACGATATAGCCCTTCAAGAAATTAATATTTTAATGAACAGTGTTGGGCTATTTTTCTTACCATCTCCAACCAGAGGGGCAACATAGGCTAAACATTGCCCTGTGACAAAAAACCATCTACAACCGAGGGAGCCAAAGGGTCATAAGGCCAAACATAATTTATTATTTTAATTGAATTAATATGGTTACTTAAATTAAACTATGTCAATCATTTTTCGAGACGGAATGTCAATAATTTTTGGAGATAGAATCTCAATAATTTTATGTCTCGGATTTCGAGTGACACGTGTCAATATGTGAGTAACTTTGCAGATTTTTTGTCAATAAAGAATCTCAATAATTTTATGTCTTGGATTTCAAGTATCACGTGTCGATGTGTGAGTAACTTTGCAGATTTCTTGTCGATAAGGAATCTCAATAATTTTACGTCTCGGATTTCGAGTGTCACGTGTCGATATGTGAGTAACTTTGCAGATTGCAGATTTCTTGTCGATAAGGAATCTTAATAATTTTACGTCTCAGATTTCGAATGTCACGTGTAAATATGTGAGTAACTTTGCAAATTTCTTGTTGATAAGGAATCTCAATTTTACGTCTTGGATTTCGAGTGCCACGTGTCGATCTGTGAGTAACTCTCCATATTTCTTGTTGATATGTAATCTCAATAATTTTTCGGATAAGATTTTGAGTGCCACGTGTCGAGGTGTAATTGGTTGTGAGAATTTTTTATAGGATTTTTATCTACATGACACTTTTTATCTTCAGCTTCCAATGTTCATAAATAGGATGGATATTGGCCCATAATTCCCACAACCAAGAGGATCCAAATAGGTCAAGGCTCGTGCAAAAATATATGATGGGCCTAATTTGCCTTTGACTTCAAGAAATGGTAA